TGCTGCCGAGGGGCGCTGGGCTCAGACCCTCCCCTGAGCTGGGCTCAGACCCTCCCTGCCCTGCTGCCGAGGGGCGCTGGGCTCAGACCCTCCCCGCCCTGTTGCCGAGGGGCGCTGGGCTCCGAGACCCTCCCCTGAGCTGGGCTCAGACCCTCCCCGCCCTGCTGCCGAGGGGCGCTGGGCTCCGACCCTCCCCGCCCTGCTGCCGAGGGGCGCTGGGCTCCGAGACCCTCCCCGCTCTGCTGCCGAGGGGCGCTGGGCTCAGACCCTGCCCGCCCTGCTGCCCAGGGGCGCTGGGCTCAGACCCTCCCCTGAGCTGGGCTCCGCCCCTCCCCGCCCTGCACAGCTCCAGATGGAAGAGAGCGCCGGACTACGGCTTGCTCACCGTACTCCCCGTTCAGTTTCACATCGAGCTCTATGATGCTGTAAGCGAGAGTGGTCTTGGGGGGGATCTCCAGGATGACGTTGCTGTCCAGCTGGAGGCTACCATTCTCATTCACCGAGACCTGGCAGACAGAAAACCAGACTGCGTCAGTATGGCGTGGAGCTGTGTGAGCCGTCACCTACCACTACAGAGCGTTTTAATGATAGTTCCTTGGGTTTATACAGAGGGTTTCATCCCAAAGGATCCCAAGGTGCTTCATCATCCCCAACTGCACAGCGGACCATGGGGAGGAGAGAGAAACACTCTCTCCAGTTGAATTACGGAGGAATTGAGTGAGGTTGGAACGTACACATTCAGAGTGGAGTGTAGCCAGGACAGTGGGGATTACCCACAACTGGGGAGTAAAATAATACGATAATGGCCGAGTTCGCGTAAGTGCAGGCATGCGTCTGCTGAAATAAGCAGCAGCAGAGAAAGAGATTCAGACTCCCTCACATGGGAGTACCAAGGACAAGACAGGAAATTCACTCTTATTTTTACACTGAAACGCCAACTTCTCAGGAAAACATCTCGAGCAGCTGAATGGGGTAAGAGCCCTTGAAAAGCTGCAGCAGACGTGTTACAACAGCCAGGGCACAGAGTGGGACGCTGGAGAACCAAAGGGAATGCACCCGCCCCCCGCAGCCCTCGCCCCGCTCGTGCCTGGATCCTCCGGGGTGCGAAGCTCAGCCGCCCCCCGCAGCTCTCCTGCTCCTGGACCTGCTCGGCGATGGAGCACGTCTGCGTGGTGAAGACCTTCTCCTTGAGCAGGCAGAACACCTCGCCCCTCCGGCCCCGCGACTGCTGCACCAGGCTGTGCTCCATGTTCAGGACCCTGCGTGAGGAGGAGACCCCCGCTGCGGCACACGTCATGTTGGAATGGGCAGGCTGCACATTCGTTTACTGACTGGGCCAGCACTCGCGCGGGCACACATGTGCTTTACTCAACCAGTTTGGGTAAGGCACCTGGCCAGAGACGGTGTCTCACCTGGAACTCGAACCCACAACCTCTCAGTTACAGGTTACAGGTACAGATCCACAACCCCTGCTCCACAGCTACCCATTTGTTCCTTTTAATTACACTTCTTAAACGTGTACAGAATGATTGATATTATTACCGTTGCACCATTTTACCGCAGGCAGGGGAATACTCTGCCAATCCTGTCAGTTTTTATCCAAGTGTCGAGTGTTGAGCATTTTCTTTCCTTCTTCTAAGAAAGCGTTCTGAAAATATGCTGAATCAGTTCTACAAGAATATATACGTTTGTTCAACGACAAAGCGGGGATTCCCAGACTCCCAGACTAGAGTGCGGCTATTAGGAATGGGGGAATAGGGAAGGATGTGCAGGCAACCACGGCCAAAGACTTCTCTCCTTTCAGACGCACCGTTGAGAAATACTCTAGAAACATGACATCACCAAAACTGAGGCAAATCACGCCAAAGAAGACGTTTCTCAGCCAGCGCACTGCAGCACAGTTGTAACAGAGGACCAGAGCTGGCCAGCTGAAACAGGACTGAAGAGAGGCGCTATCACCGGAAGAGGCATACTGTAACCCTGTAACGCTCCAGTGCCTGGTGATCAATGAAGAGAATATCTAATAAGTGTGATGGGCATGTAGAGAGATTAATGAAAATCATATGAATCACAAATAGCATACGATTTTTACCCAGGTTTTCTACCCAGGAGGAAGAGGGCTGTGCACTAAACACCGAGGAAGAGCTGGGATCGGAAACACAAGATCC